AGGTAACAATTATGAAAAATACAACTTTCCTCTAGTTCCTAAATGCTTCCTCCCCACTCCCACTATCATGACACGAATTCTACCTTGCAAGTCTGGCTAGACCAGCGGATGTACACTGGTACAGATAAGAACTGGAAACACAGGGAATCCAGGGTGGATAATCCCATCAGGACCAGTGGTGTGAGTGGAGATACAGGGCGGGTAGAGGGAGAGTGGGTTGGAAAGAGGGAACCGATTACAAGGATCTATATGTGACCTCCTCCCTGGAGGACGGACAATAGAAAAGTGGGTGAAGGGAGACGTCGGACAGGGCAAGATATGACAAAACAATAATTTATAAATTATCAAGGGTTCGTGAGGGAGGGGAAAAAATGAGGAGCTGATGTCAGGGGTTTAAGTGGAGAGCAAATGTCATGAGAATGATGAGGGCAATGAATGTACAAATGTGCTTTACGCAATTGATGTGTGTATGGATTGTGATAAGAGTTGTATGAACCCCTAATAAAGCGATTAAAAATATTAAAAAATAAATAAAAAAGAAAATTACAACAAACCAAAATAACCAACTTCACTGTCATCAAGTCCACGCTGAGTGATAGAGACCTTACATTACAGGGTAGAACTGCCCTTGTGAGTTCCCAAGATTGTAAGTAACTGTTTATAGAAGCAGAAAGCTCATCTTTCTCCCACAGAGCTACTGGTGTTTTCGAACTGCTGACCTTGCCGTTGTAGCCCAACACATAACCACTACATCAAATTATAACAAGTATTTGTTGATTTGATAGCAGTAAAAACTTTAAAATTTGGTATTACACAACATAATTACTGTTGAAATAAAGTTTAATCATTTTAAGGTTTTTTTAAGCGCTTAATCTAAATTTAGCTTTTCAAGAGTGGAAGGAAAAAAGTCTACATGCAATTAGGAACTCACTGTCCTGGTTTGGTGGTGTATAGAAGATTTTTGGCAAAGGAATGACTTAGTGAGTAGATGCAGTGCACCTTTCTGCTGGACTGAGGCCTCTAGGCACAGTGCAAGGGCTACTTGCTGCTTAGCTGTGCCTCCAGTGCAGTGATGGTGGCCATGAAGGAATTCCATTGTCATTTTTAAGGGACTGAGACAGGTAATGAGTCAGAATTGACTTGATGGCAGTGAGTTTTAGTTTTGGTTTAGAGGTAGGGCAAAATTAATTTACATGGTCTTCTGTTCTCTAGTAAAGGCAGGGCTCTGCTCCTCCTGGAAGTTGCAAATAGAATGTCCTCAGGTTCATCCCGACCTGGAGTCTGCTGGCTGAAAAGTCACTTGAACGTTCAGTTCATTAGTAAGCCTCATTCCAAGAGAGGACTAGGGCACTAGGCACACAAAAAGTAGGGAGTTAATACAGTGTCTCTAATTTAGCACTCCACATCCTGGAGAAAAGGCTTGCTGGTAGAACTTTCTGACACTCTAGGTATCCCGTGTTTTTTTGGAAAGAAGGCCTTTGAGGGAGTTTAAAGTTGAATAGCTTTCTTCATAGCCAATTGAAAATGCACCCAGGGCCTCTTGTGGGAATTGAGAATCAGCTCCTGGGCCTTTCATCTGGTCTTCTCATCAATTCGGGCGATAGCTTACCTGGGACTTGAGGTGACTTAGCTTTAACTGTGGAAAGACTGGGCCTCCACACTTCTAGTGGCTGTTTTGTTTGTGATAGACACATCACGTTGGTCTCAGTTTAGAAGGTTCAACCCTTGTTTTGCCACTTGTCCTTTTGGGGGCTCCAGCGGACTTAAACCTCATTGGAGGTGGCTTGCTTCAAGAGGTTACATGCCCTCTGGTTCTCCTTTTCTCCTTTTTTAAATCATTTTATCGGGGCTTATACAACTCTTATCACAATCCACACATACATCATTTTTGTAAAGCACACTTATACATCCGTTGCCCTCATCATTCTCAAAACACTCGCTTTCCGCTTGGGCTTCTGGCATCAGCTCCTCATTTTTCTCTTTTTTTTTTGGTTCTCCTTTTCTTATACTTGATCTCTGATACTGAAAAACTTAAAAAAAACCAATTCTTTACAAATTGAGATGTAAATCTCTTGCAGTTTCAGAAGTTTTCTCCCAGCATCAGGGGGCACTCTGTAGGCACCAGTCTGCTGCTCCTTTGGCTTTGTCTAAAAATGGGTCTAACTCATCTGGGTTAAGCAGGGTGCTGAGTAAAGTCTAAAAATCACTCCCAGTTGGGGTTAAAATAATGGAAAATTAAGATTAAAAAGTTCCTGCATTCGAATGGTCTTCTCTATCCCCGTAAGTGTGGGCTTTCCAATTCTACAAATCAGAAGTAGCAAAGGGAACAAGGATTTTGATGATGGTCCCAGATGGCCCCGTGTTGAGTGGAGGGCCTGCTGGAGAGGGACTTGTCCTAAAGATGTTCCTCCTTGGCTCTGTTCAGACTCCAGATCAGAATCCCCCTGCTGTTTGCCTGCAGGCACCACAGCCCTTCAAGGAGCCATAGTTAACACAGACGAGGCCTTCCCCGAACAGTCCCAGCTTTCCTCTTTCACTTTCAAACGTCCTCCTTGGTGCTGAGGTGGACTCCACAGCAAGGGTGTCGGCTTGGACTTTTCCCCAGGTGCTATGGAGCCAGTCAGCCCTGGGTTCGGAGGGATGAATCTTCCTGGCTGGCTCAACAGAAACAAAAACCGAGACAGGGTGAAAGGGAAAGGGAAAGCATTACTTTGGTCGTATCAAACAAGGAGCAGGCCATGACTAGAGTCACCAAGGCAAGCTCCTGAAAAAAGACTGGCAGTTTCATACTGTATACAGGAAGTAAATTGAGAGGATTATGGATATGGAACAGACATCTGAAGAATGGTCATGAATGGGGTTACAGTTCATGACCAGGAAATGCCTTGTTGGACTGCTCACTTTCCAGTGTCTTCAGAGATGAGCTGGTCATGTCCTCCCAGCGAGTGACCTAAAGGTGTGCCCTTTTTGCACATGTTCAGTGTGCCAGATCTGACCATAACTGATATTTGATTGTTGTGATGGGATACTTCCCCAGGAGTAATGGGCTCAAAAGGGACAGGTTATTAGGAAGGAAAATACAGGTTAATTATGGGCAATAAAAGAGGTACCTATTTATTTCAACATCTTGTGGCAATATCCTAAGGGTAGGTTCATTGGGGCAAGCTGTGGAATTCACAGCATTACACAGGACTAAGCAGGTTGGGGAGTAGTCTCACTTGATCTAAAATCCACGAGAGTTAGGTGGAGTACAAAAGTAGAGTCACACAAAGGCAACAAGAAATATATGAGATGATGTTTGTAAAAAGTACATGTCATTGTACTTTGTCATTGTGTTGTTAGCACTTTTAAAAAATAAAACCATGTCCAAGACCAAAGTGGGGAAAAGGAATTATAAGTGTATAGAGTGACACTTGGGGAATGTGCTGCTTTTTGTGTATAAAAAAGGTAACATAGTTATCCTTAAAAAAGAGATCCTGAAAAAAAAAAATAAAAAAAAAATTAAAAAAAAAGAGATCCTGGAAGAGAGGAGGATTTGAAGAGAGCAGTTTGATGGTTCATGACAATGGCTACTTCTCAGGTAATCAGTGACATTCAGGTGTGAGACGTGCCAGGGATGAGCATGTACTCCAACATGTGGTCCTGGTTCAGATTACGTGTTGGTCTTATGAGCATGTGGCCTAACCTGGTATACTAGTTTTTAGACTAATGGAATTGTCAAGAAGATAATACTATACTTCTTTTTCTGGAAACTGCTCATCACTGCAGATCAATGAGTTGAAGGTCCTGTGATGGTCAAGCACGGACAATATCAATTTCTTCAGTTTCTCAGTAGTTACATTTCTGTGACCTCATTCAAAATTGTTTAAGATAGGATTATTCTTGCAGGCTAACTTGTTTCATCAACAAATTTCTGGCCAAACATTTCACTGCTTTTAAAATATTTGCTAGTTTGTCATAATGCTTTCTTCTTCTTCTTCTTTTTTTTAATGAGTTAAAATGGGGCCACTTTATCACATCTTTAGCCTTTTCTTTTTTGTCTTTCTCAGTCTGGTAGTGGCACCAATGAAGAGCCTTTGGAGTCTGTAATGCAAGCACTGGAATTGGCCTAAGCTCCTCCATATGAGACAATGGCCCAACAAACAAATATAGGGGCGCTCCTCTCCATGCTAGATTCCTCTAAGCTGGATGTGCGAGATGACATAACAACTGTCTTTAAAGATAACCTCAATTCTGGTAAGCAAAATAATAAAACGTTTTGTTTATCTGCTAATCAGAAGAGATCGACTTACACATGAATAAAGCCTTGATGATAAATTTTAATTGTCATCTTCAGATTGGGACTTCTAAAACCACCCAAAAATGATTAAACACAGATTTGCTATATACGCCGGGGTAGGTACCCGCCTCCAACAAAAAAGAATTTTTTTTCAAAACTATGTATTTAAATTTTTTTACCAAACAACCTTATCACCTTCAAGGTTATCTCCATTACATTTAATACATTTGTCAAATCTGTGATTCTATTCTTGGAAACATTTTTCAAACTCATCTGTTTGGATGCCTGACAGCACCTCCCTCATTTTTTTCTTCACCTGTTCTATATCGTCAAATCACAGTCCTTTCATATCCTTCTCTGCATTTGCAGAAACAAAAAGCATCACAGAGTGAGGTCAGGTGCGGAAGGTACATGGGACAAGAGAGGCATGCTGTTTTTTGCCAAAAACTGGCATAGAGATGGCTGCATGAGCAGGCGCATTGTCGTTGTGGCAAAACCAGTTCTCCCATCTGCCATAAATCAGGCCTTTTTTGTCGCACACTGTTATGGAATCATTTCAGAACTTTTAAATAGAAAACTTGATTAACAGTCTGTCTTGATGGAACGAACTCCAAATGCACTATCACACTCATATAAAAAAAAAGAAAAAAAGAAAAAAGAGCATCATTGTGATCTTTGATTTCACTTGATAAGCTTTATTTGGGTGGGGTGATGATAGCGTCTTCCACTGCTTGATTTTGATGTTTCCTCTCGGGGGTCATAAGAATAGCACCATGTCTCGTCACCATTAATGACCTTGGGAAAAAAGTCTGGGTTGCTTTGGAGCTGTTCTTTCAAAGCACAGCATGTTTCCACTAAATGCTCTTTTTGCTGGTCAGTCAGAACCCAGGGCACACATTTTGCAGTGACCCTTCTCATTCCCAAATCTTCCATTAAAATTTGCTGAACTGAGCTAAAGAAAGTCCAGAAACTTCCCCATCTCTTCAGTGGTCCGGTGTTGGTCTTCAGGCACAAGTGCACGGATTTTGTTGACCTTTTCATCTGTTCTGGAAGGTGATGGACATCCAGAATGAGGTTTGTTATCATTCGATATTTCACCTTTTTTGAAATGAGAAAACCACTCGGATGCGACGCTCGAGTTTTTCCCATGGTGCTGCCCTTGTAAGCTGTGTTCAACATCACAACAGTTTCTGCGGCAGTTTTTCCTAGCAGGAAACAAAATTTCATAGCCACACATTGTTCTCTTAAATCATCCATCACAAAAAGACGAGATTCCAACGAAACTGCTTTTATGAAAAAATTCACTGCGACCAGAGAGAACCTTCCCAGGTGATGCCACTGGGTGCACTAACTCAGAGCGAGTTGCTCGATGCTCATCTAGTGGGAGAAATGCGAACTACAAACTTCTGCCCAGTGGAGCTTTTTTCAGTTTTTTGGGGGGTACCCTCTCATATGTATGTATTCTGAACTTTTGGTTTTGAAAATACTAAGTACACAGAGACATAGAAGTTAAACAAAAAAATCACATGCTTGCCCAGCTTTAGAGGGTCTGTTCACTCTTCATGCCATCTAGCCTTTGACTCCTGCTCACTCTTGAGTATTTTAGAGCAGATTCTAGATTTATTGTTTTATCTAGAAATAATGTATGTGTTTTTAATATGTAAAATGCTGTTTAATACGAGATATAAAAAAGGCGGGGTAGAGAAAAAAATGAGATAAACTGTGTACACTGATATGGGAAGCTGTCTGCAACACATTGTGAATTGAACCATACAAACTGGACATGAGGGCGTGTGTGTGTGTGTGTGTGTGTGTGTGTGTGTGTAAGAATGAGAGATAAGACTTTCATTTAATAAGTTGTAAAATGGTGATTTTTTTTAATGCTTTTATAAGTAGACAAATATGTTTATAATTCTGTTTGAATAGATGTAAATATGAAGACTTGCATTTTTGAGTTTTGTGACAGGAAATTATTTGAGGAAAATGTAGGGTGTTTGAAGAGATACTATTGTAAATTACCCTTTTGTTTGTTGAGACCGAGGACCTATGCTTGTAAACACCTTGGTGGATTATTACCTGGAAACCAATTCTCAGCCGGTATTGCACATCCTGACTACACTGCAGGAGCCACATGATAAGGTAACTGCTGAAATGTAAGAGGGAGAGTACCCAATCCCTTCTTTGAGAGTACTGTAGCAATGCTCATACAGATCCACTGCACAGTTTCTCCAGTGTACTCCTCCTCTTTATTCCATGGGTGACATTGTTGAAGGACCCTGGTTTCCTGAAAACTTGACAAAATTAGTTTCAGAGGCTTCTTTAGATCTTTTTTCTAAATTGTATTAATTCTTTTTAAAAAAATTTTTATTGGGGGCTTGCACAACTCTTATCACAATCCATACATCCATCCATTGTGTCAAGCACATTTGTACATTTGTTGCCATCATTCTCAAAACATTTGCTTTCTACTTGAGCCCTTGATATCAGCTCATTTCCCCTCCCTCCCTCCCCTCTCCCCCCTCCCTCGTGAGCCCTTGATAATTTATAGATTATTATTATTATTTTGTCATACCATACACTGTCCGATGTCTCCCTTCACCCAAGTTTTTGCTGTCCATTAAATTGTATTAATTCTTTTTTTTTCTTTCTTTTGTGAGTCAGTGAGTGAGAGAGTAAGAGTGAGTGAGAGAGAGTGAGTGAGAGAGTGAGTGAGACAGTGAGTCAGTGAGTGAGAGTGAGTCAGTGAGTGAGTGAAAGTGAGAGTGAGTAAGTGAGAGTGAGTGAGTGAGAGTGAGTGAGTAAGAGTGGGTGAGAGTGAGTGAGTGAGTGAGTGAGTGAGTGAGCGAGAGTGAGTTAGTGAGTGAAAGTGAGAGAGTGAGTGAGAAAGAGTGAGTGAGTGAGACAGTGAGTCAGTGAGTGAGAGTGAGTCAGCGAGTGAAAGAGAGTAAGAGAGTGAGTGAGTGAGTGAGACAGTGAGTCAATGAGTGAGTGAGTGAGAGAGTAAGAGAGTGAGTGAGTGAGTGAGACAGTGAGTGAGTGAGAGTGAGTCAGCGAGTGAAAGAGAATGAGAGAGAGAAAGAGTGAGTGAGTAAGTGAGACAGTGAGTCAGTGAGTGAGTGAGAGTGAGTGAGAGAGTAAGAGAGTGAGTAAGTGAGTGAGACAGTGAGTGAGTGAGAGTGAGTCAGCGAGTGAGAGAGAGAGAGTAAGAGTGAGTGAGTAAGTGAGACAGTGAGTCAGTGAGAGAAAGAGAGTGAGTGAGTGAGTGAGTGAGAGTCAGTGAGTGAGAGTGAGTCAGTGAGAGTGAGAGTGAGTAAGAGAGTGAGAGTGAGTCAGTGAGTGAGAGTGAGTGAGTGAGTGAGTGAAAGAGAGTGAGTGAGTGAGTGAATGTAAGAGAGTGTGAGTGAGTGAGAATGAGAGAGTGAGTCAAATTGTATTAATTCTAATGCTATAATCATACTGCAACAATTTGACCCATAAGTTACCCATCTTTCGATAGCCTTTTTAGATATTTTGTTACTGTTTTAATTCTGAGGTGGATTTTAACTTCAAATACATAATATATATTTGGAGCCAAACTCTCTAAGCTGGGCTACTATAGCAATAAGTGGCTGCTTCCTTTCCCACTTTCAGCAAGAAGTGGCTTTTTTTTTTTTTCTTTTTTCCAGAAAGAAGCACTGCATAGGCATGTCCTCTTCTTTTTGCATACCTATATGATGGGGATCTTTTTTCAGGAGTTGTAAACTAGCTGCCATCTCTCAGGTCAAATTCAGAAGTGCTTTGTTTGCTAATTTGGTTGAAAAAAACCTTGAATTTGATCTCTTTACCCACTTGACCCTAACTTTACATTAAAGGGAAGAGTTGGGAGACTGGAGTGTATTCTTGCTGCCTTAATTGGGGTCAACATCACACGTTCATCTGAGGATTTATTGTTCTTTTGTATGTTTAGCACCTCTTGGACAAGATTAACGAACACGTGGGCAAAGCCACCACTCGTTTATCCATCCTCTCTCTCTTGGGGCATGTGATACGACTTCAGCCGTCATGGAAGCACAAGCTCTCTCAAGCACCTCTTTTGCCTTCTTTACTAAAATGTCTCAAGGTAGGATGCTTGAAAATATTGGAGTGAAAGGACTGTACAAATAGTTTTGAAATTTTGCACAATTTAAAATACTCAAGCTCAAATTTAACTTTAGAGTGAAAAACAAGACAGTTTGTTTTCCTCAAAGGTAAGGAATGCTACTCAGAGTTGTTGGTTGATGAGTACGTGCTCACATGCATCCGGGTGTTTTCTCTTCTTTGTCCAAGCAAATCTGGTAAAATTTCAGTCAGATTGCTTCAAAAATTACTTCTTCCAAATCTCTTCCTGCCTTCGTCCTCTAATCTTTCCCAAGTCAGGAACACAGCTAATAGGTATGGTGTCTTAGTAGAACAGTGGCTTAGGGATTCTTATCAGTAAAAACATGTTCTGTTTGCAGCTATAATTAAGGTTTTGTTGGTATAAGAACTAATGAATTATAGTCCACCACCACCCCAACACCCCCTACTAAATCTAGTGCATTTTTCTACATAGGGAGTGACAACCTAAATAGAACTTTATGGTTTTATGTGCTTAATCTGTTTTAGTTCCTGGACTGGCATCCTACCTTATAAAATTAGAAAAATATGCTTAGCATTAACTGCCAGTACCTCACAGAGACAAGAACATTTCTACTAGTATTTGTTCCAGGACGGCATTCCCTTTGGAGTCCTCTAATACACACCATGAGAACTGAGTTTTGTCTTTGCCAGCCAGGTAACTGTGCGTTCTTCTCTCGAGAGGTGGGCCAAGGAGTCACACTGTTAGGACATCATAAAAATCTTGATTTAATGTTAAGAATAAAAGAACAATTTGGAACAGCTTAATTTAAAAAAATTAAATTGAGAATATTATCTCCTTTTGAAGATATTTATTATTAGTTCAGATTATGGGAAACACTGTCCCCTAAAGAGTAAGCCTGGAAAATGATTCATTGAGTCTTCTGTTAGAATGTTGTGCTACACTGAACTATGGTTAGTTGTTTTTTGCTGGAAATCATCATTTACATGGTAATATATTCTCTTTTCTTTTACCAATATATTAATTGCATTCTTCTTACCAGATATGTCTGTTGTAACAAAAGGCGTAGTGCTTGGCATAAAATTTAAATATATTTACAGCTTTATTTCCAGACTCATAGATTACTTTAATCATAGTAATAATTCTGCTTCAACCTTTTGCTTTTTGTTCAATTTTTCTATTGTGAATTAGTTGGGGAGATTTACATTTTAGATCATCAACTCCACATTGAACAGTTTAAACCACTCATCACCCCCATCCCACCCCCCATATTCTACCCTACCCCCCTTCTCTGATTTCTCAAAAATGCCTCAGCTCTTTAAATTAATAACTTAATTTCTGAAATCTGGATTTTAGTTACTTGGCAAACACTCATAATTAATTATGAGTCAGGTGAGCTGCTGTAGCTAGTCTGAGTTGATTCATTATCCATTGTGTATTTAGTGTCTTCAATTAGCCTAATGATATGTGACCCAGTAGGCATGGTCATAGGTTACCATATCGTCTCCTATTTGTCGATCTCTAAATATTGCTCTCACAGTAACCCATCACGTGGACTTATTGCTCTATGCATTTCTTCTTAAATTATATTTCTGTGGTTGCAGTTCTTTAAAAAATAGCCAATTATTTGTCAATGTATAATAATTTTTTAATGAACTTGACAAGAAAAATATTTTAGGGTTCAGATGAATGAAGCAAAACAGAACAACATTCCTCTGTTCTGTTAAAAAGCAGAATATGTTGATGCTATAAACATCTTAAAGGCTTTAGGACTTGGAAACCCCTGAGTCAAGTTTAAACTCATCCCTTGGTTGAAACACAATATGAGCATATTGTAAATGACCCTCACAGACTCGTTAAAGTAGAGCAAGCCTTCAGCAGTTTCTTGTTGAGTCTGTTAGGTCTTTAGGGATGGGAAATGGGAATACAAGTGAACTGCTAGTGTGCGGCTCCTTTATGATGTAGAACCTCTTCGTGCACCATATAGCATTTCCCCTAATGCTGATCCTAACATGTGTCTGACAGGTTTCTTGACTTTCCCCCTGCAGACTGACACTGATGTAGTAGTCCTCACAACAGGAGTTTTAGTGTTGATAACCATGCTACCGATGATTCCACAGTCCGGGAAACAACACCTTCATGATTTCTTTGATATTTTTGGCCGTCTTTCAACTTGGTGCCTGAAGAAACCAGGTAAAGTTCTCTGTATATACCTGTCAGAAAATACAGGTGACTATTTCCCAGTTTTGATTAACAGCTCAGGGGCTGTAAGGGAAGACAGACAGAATGCCATAGCTGAAAGGTGTTTTCACGACCCAGATGAGATCACGGACTTGGCATGAATAAGAAGCATGTCCTTTGAGAAACCTTTATTTTGGTTGGTTGCTCAAGTGGATTCGTTGTCAGAAAGAAATTGAGTAGTAGGATTTAAAACTTTCTAATTTTCAAGCATTTAAACTGAAAACAACTTTCATCTAGATTCTAGACTGTCACTAGAGGACTGAACTTGCTGAACATTTTGTCTTATTCTGCTGGTCTGTTGTGACACAAGTTTCCAGTTTTGAGAACCTGTTTGTTCACTGTACAATATAGAAGAGGAAGGAAAACACGTGTCCTACTTATAATTAGCATTCTTATTTCAAATGCTGTAGGACTACCCCCTCCCCTCCATTGACAGATAGCACAGTTGTGTCAGTATGATTTAGAAGCTATAAACATCTGACTTTGGAATCTTCTGGTAAGCCCAGCATGAGATACCCATATTGAAAGGGTGAACTGTATAAGACCTGTGAAACGCAATAGTGTGGCTTTCTCTACAGGATTAAATAACCAAGCACAAGACCCATATGATGCCAGCTTATTTAGTGACATCTTCTTTGGGACAAAGGAGTGGTCTCTCTATCTGTGTGGAAAAGCTCTGTGTATACTACAGACATGGGCTTTCCCATAAGATCTAGGTGAGGGAGATTAAATGTGCAAGGTTTCTCCCTCAGCAGTGTATATAGGTAGCTCATAAAAATCAGTCTCTGGCTAATAGTCTTGTCATTACATCCCTTTTAATCTGCATAGCTAAGATTGCATACTGATTGTACAAGACTCACATAGTCATCTCACAGTTATTTGAATAGCTGTGACACATTGCGCATAGAAAAGGCACAGAGGACGGACGGAGAGGTGAGTCTGAGTCTCTGTCCTTGCTAGACTCGTGCTTACTTTGGCAACAGAGACGTCGAGTTAGACATTTCAGGCTATCACTAGAAAGGTAGTTCAGTGCTAGGAGGATGTGTGGGAGTCTTGAGGAGGAAGACTGGAAAAAAAGGCAGGGGTTAGGTTAGTAAGAGCCTTTACAAGGCACACTTAGTAGATTGGGTTTTAGCCAAAGGTCATGGGGAGCCATTGATTTCAAGTTGGGATGTCTGGTGTGCTCAGATTTGCAGTTTAGAAAGCCACTGACTTGCTATCTTTGGAAAAAAGGGGGATCAAATAAAAGGTCCTGCCAGCATCTGTGTGTTTGTGGCTGTTTTGACAAATGCAAATCTTTTCTCCTACTCCGTCTCCTTTAAACCCTTTTCCTTTTTAGGCCATGTGACAGAAATCTATCTTGTCCATCTCCACGCGAGTGTTTATGCCCTCTTTCATCGCCTTTATGGGATGTACCCATGCAACTTTGTCTCCTTTCTACGGTCTCACTACAGTATGAAGGAAAACTTGGAGACTTTTGAAGAAGTGGTTAAGGTAAATTATAATTGCTCCTTTATTTGATACCATACTTTCATACAAACTACCTTTCTAACCTTTTGGTAGAGGAGAATTTTGGGTGGGGGATGAGGAGGAATCAGGTTTTTTTTAATGGTAATTGTTTCTTTGAGATATAATTCACATACCTTATAGTTCATCCATTTAAATTATATAAGTCAGCGCTTTTCAGTATAGCCACAGAGTTGTACCACAACCAATTTTAGAATGTTTTCATCATTCCAAGAAGAAATTCTGTGTCTGCTAGCTATCGCTCCTCATTTCCCCTAGTTTTTATCCCTCAGCCTTAGGTAACAACTAATTTCTATATCCATTTGCCTATACGTTCATATAAATGGTATTATACAATATGTGGTCTTATGTGAATGATTTATTTCACTTACCATAAAGATTTCAAGGCCCTTTGTATTGTAGCATGTACTAGTACTTAGTCCTTATTCAGTGCCAAATGGTATTTCATTCAGCATTTTCTAATTTGTTAACCCAAACTCTTGTAGCCAATGATGGAGCATGTGCGAATTCATCCGGAGTTAGTGACTGGATCTAAGGACCATGAACTGGACCCTCGGAGGTATGGAAACTAAATTGCATAGTGACACAGAATTTTAAAGACTTTCTTGAGAAATTGAATATGTAATCTGGGAAATGTCCCCATTGTTTGGGACTATAGATGTTCTTCTACATATAGAATAATTTTATTTTAAGGACTCATACAACTTTCTGTGAGTTTAAAACATATTTCTACCATCTTGCTGCCTTAGCGAGAGCGAGATGTTTCAGTGAAGGTGCGCGCCCTGCAGGACATCCAGGGAAACTTATACTTGGGTGGTACCAGTTATTTCCAAGCGGGCGATGGAGTGTGTGGCTGTACACAAGTGGGTCGCAGAGAGTCTATATATACCGAGTGCTTAGCTGTCTTAGGCCCCTTTCTTCATCCTGCATTGACAGGTGATTGCCATGCTCAGTGAGGCCCTGCAGAAGCCCCCAGCATATTTATTCTCTGGAGAAACTGAGTGTGAGAGACTCTTAGCTTGAGGAGAGCAGGTAGGATGGAGCTGGAGTTGGTGTTGGGACTGAAAGAAGGCAGTTAAATGAAACGGTACATATTGAGCTGCGAGGTGAGGTGAGACTCTCAGCTCCCTCCCCATGTTCTTTTCCTGGCTACCCCAGGCTTATGGGCCCTGGACGGAAGAATGAACCTGTTTTGGAGAAACTGACTCACAGAGAGTGACATTTCATGATTCTGCCACTGAAAAAACTGACTGTCTGCCCGATTCCCTTATAACTCTAAACTCACTCCCATTAAGTCGATTCTGACTCATAGTAGCCCTATGAGACAGGGTAGAACTGCACCTGTAGGTGTCCAAGACTACAACTCTTTACAGGAGTAGAAAGCCTCATCTTTATCCAGAGGAATGGCTGGTGGTTCCGAATTGCTGGCCTTGCAGTTAGCACCCTGTGGTAGTCCGGGTAGACTAGAGAAACAAATTCATAAAGACATTCATATGTGTATACGAAAGAGCTTTATATACAAAAGCAGTCGGGTATTGAGAAAACATCCAATCCAGATCAAGTTCATAAGTCCAAAATTAGCCCGCATGTCTGATACCAATCTGTAAATTCCTCTTCAGACTCACACAATGACGCTGAATGCAGGAAGACCACAGGTCAGTGGGTGGAAAGCCTTGTGGCTCCAGTGGCATTGGAAGCATCTCAGTGCTGGCAGGGTTCTCCACATGGCTCCTTCAGCTCCAGGGCTCTAGCGTAGTTCCATGTGTCTTGTCCATAGGAATGTCTTGCAGGGAATGAGCGTGTGTCCTGCCTCCAATGAGCTATTTATCTCCTTAGCGCCTCCAAATGAGGTCATCAAGCTGTGACCTGATTGACAGCTTAAACTCCACCCCTTTATTCTTTAAGTCTCAAATTGACAACAGATATGTCACTACCACACAGCCCAACTCATAACTACTTCTCTACAAACCTGGCCTCTTCACGCAATCAGTTCCCTGGTGACCCTGTCGGGTGTTACTGCAAGGTTGGTGGTGCAAAACCACCAGCCACTCTGCAGGAGAAAGCCAAGGCTATCTGTTCCCATAAAGATTTATAACTTCAAAAACCCTGTATCGTCTCTCTATGAGTTAGAATTGACTTGATGGCAATTACTTTGGGTTTGTATTATTATTTGGGATTTATTGTGAAATATATGTATGTAGAAAAGTATATAAACATATATGTAAAATTAAGTAATAATTTCTGAATGCCACCACAGAGCTAAAGAAATACAAGGAACTATATGTGACCTCCTCCCTGGGGGACGGACAACAGAAAAGTGGGTGAAGGGAGACGTCGGACAGGGCAAGATATGACAAAATAATAATTTATAAATTATCAAGGGCTCATGAGGGAGGGGAAAAATGAGGACCTAATGCCAGGGGCTTAAGTGGAGAGGAAATGTTTTGAGAATGATGAGGGCAACGAATGAATGTACAAATGTGCTTTACACAATTGATGTATGTATGGATTGTGATAAGAATTGTATGAGCCCCTAATAAAATGGTTTAAAAAAAAAAGAAATACAGCATTAAAAATCCTCTGTAAAATCCTCCCCAGTTGAAGCTGTCTTTCTCTCTTGTCCCCCATCCCACCTACTGCCTTTTTAAAAAAATCTCTTTTAAAAAAAAATCATACATCCATTGTATCAAGCATATTTGTACATAAGTTGCCAGCATCATTTTCTAAACATTTACTTTTAAAAATTATTATTATGAATCATTTTATTGGGGAGCTCATACAAATCTTATAACAATCCATCATTCAATTGTATTAAGCACACTTACATATATGTTGCCATCAACATTTCCAAAACACTTTCTTTTCTACTTGAGCCCTTGGTATTAGCTCCTCTTTTCCCCTCCTGTCCACCCTCGTGAATCCTTAATCAATTATATATTATTATTGTAATTTTGTGTCTTAAACTATCCATTGTCTCACTACACCCACATTTCTGTTATTTGTCCCCCTGGGGGTGGCGCTATATATCCAACTTTGTGATAGGTTCCCCCTTTTTTCCTCCCCCCTCCAACATTTACTTTCTATTTGAGCCCTTGTATCAGCTCTTTTTTCTCTTCCTCCCCCTTCCCACTCTTGTGACCCCTTGATAAATTATGTTATTATTATTTTCATATCTTATACCAACCACTGTCTCCCTTCACCCAAGTTTCTGTTGTTTGTCCCCCTGTGGTGGTAGTGGTGAGGGGGTTATGCGTCAATCATTGTGATCGCCACCTGTTGCTTTTATGTTAATCATTCTCTGGTTCTTCTTTAAGGAGCCCTGGTGGTACAATGGTTAAGTGCTCAACTACTAACTGAAAGGTATGCAGTTCAAATCCACCAGTCACTCTGCAAGAGAACGATCTGGCAGTTGGATTCCATTAAAAACTACATCCTTAAAAACTTTATTGGGCGATTCTACTCTGTCCTGTAGGGTTGCTGTGAGTTGGGATCCACTCAACGGCATTGAGTTTGTTGTTGTTGTTGTTCTATTTTGAAAAGCTGATTAGGAAGCCAAGCTTGGCTAAGGAAGGAGCAGTTCTGCCACTAGTCCATGAAGATTTCCAGGAGACAAAGAGATGAACATAGTGTCTGTGTGTTGGTCTGGCTTCACCTTCCTTGAGAGTTTACAAAAACCCTTTCTGAGGAAGTTAGTGGGCAAGGCCAGGAGTGAGTTCTTGGAAGTGTAAGGCTTACCCAAGTCAGGGCATCAGCCAACGCTTAGAGAGAAGGTCAAGTACCAAATGTGCTGCTGAAATGTGGCCAGAGGATGTAACTGCTCTTGTGTTTTCTGCTTCTAAGCTCACTGTGGCCTGCTTGAAGCTCTTCCGGGTAGGTCTAAGGAAAAAACTGCTGTGGGATGGAATGACTGTCCTCAGCTGATCCCTACAAAGAGGGGAGAATAGAACTTCGTCAGTACTTGATCAAGATGAGCTAAATGCAGACAAGATCCAAGCCAGGATCACCCGGACATTCTATTCTCTGGTTAAAAAAATAGCATATATAAGTTTAAAAAAACAAACAAAAACGAACTTATTATTATGAATTAAATGAAGATTCACAGAACAGATTATCAATGTTAAATTAAAACAATTCATAGGCATTCTGTTTCATTTCATTAATTGCAAGCCCTTGAGTGCAGCTTTACTTGTTCCAAGCATGTACAATTTTGCAACAATAGTACATTTAAAAATACATAGAGTAATGTGGGTAGATGTGGAAGTAAATGTGTGTCCATGTATAGGTGCATCTGTAAAGTCTGCTGCCATAGAGCTGATTCCAATTCCTGGCGTCTCTACACAATAGAGTGGAACTGTTCCGTAGAGTTTTTGAAGCTGTAAATCTTTATGGGAGCAGACTGCTTCAGCTTTCGCTGGTGGGTTTGAACTGCTAACATTTAGGTTAGCAGCCCAACTCTTAGCCTACTGTGCCACCAGGCCTCTGTAGGTGTATTACTCTCGGAAAAGTTTCATTATCTTTCAATTCCATTTTTTCCACAAACCTTTTGAAGCTCCTTTGTAAATAATATCATATATATCACTGTATGTAACGACTCACATAGAGGACAGAGTTATGGAGGCTTCCTGCATTTAACCAAATCACTCCTGGGATTGCATTTTGACTCAAGGACATTGGGGCCATAGGTTAGGGCAGGGGTTGGCAAAGTTTTGAGATAGAAGAGTCAGTCCTTTCCCTTAACAACATTTAAAAAATGACTCGAGTCATAAATATATTTTTAAAAACAAATTAAATCACCACCATCTGAATAATAAGCTTTAAAATATTACAATTGTACTTTAGAGCTACATGTACTTACCAAAGAGCAGCATATGGCTTTTGAGCCACAGTTTGCTAACTGCTGGTCTAGGGAAGCAACTACGTCAGCTGACAACACATGGCTCACTTATCAGTCTGCAGCTGAGTCTGAGAGTAGTGCTGAGGCATTAAAGACTTGCATGTGAACATCTAATGTATAACTATTGGCCTTTATCTATGTGGAGCAAAAGAGAATAATGGGAGACAAAAGCTCAACGAGGAAACCAATCCATGGAACGAATAGTTCACATGGCTTACAACCTTGTTGACCTGAAACCTAAAGAACTAGATGGTGCCCAGCTACCGGTATTTACCATTCTGACCTGAGACAAATTAGAATGTCCCAATTAAAATGGAAGAAAAATGTGAACCAAACTCACTCCTTAAGAAGGGCAAGTCTCTTGGACTGAAAGAGGACCCTGGAGGCTGTCATCTTAAGATAGCCTTTGCACATGGAGTTAGAGCTGTCTCAAACACTAGATTGGCTTACAAAACAGATAGTTTTGAGTAGTGTACTCCCTCAAACAGTGAACTATATGGAACCAAATGCTCAACATTTACTCCCAAAATAGGTGAGACGGCAAGGAGGAGAATGGAGGCCAGATCAGTGAAAACCGAACAAACAGAATGGAAATAATGGCAGTGCTGGTACTTTGTAAAAATTGTTGTTATTGCTAGGTGCTGTTGAGTTGGTTCTAGCTCATA